TATCATGGCCCATGTATGTCCAGTTTGCTTAAGTGCTCCCTGACCTGATCCTCTTCCTCCAAGCGTGTATCTTCCTTGTTCCAGCCTTTAACCCACTGAGGACCTGGAATTCCTGAAGGCCAGTCTTGCAGCAAGGCAAAGGCGGCATTCAGCACTTGAGCCTTGTCCACATTCTGTGTCACCAGGTCCCCACTCTTGTTTGAACAATAGATTTAAATTTTCCCTAGCCTTCCTTTTGTCACCTATACGCTTACAGAAACCCTTGTTATTGGTATTCCTTACCAGATTCAGTTACACGTGGGCTTTGGCTTTCCTAACTTTGTCCCTAGAAGCTCAGAAAATGTCACTGTATTCACTCCAGGTTACTCATCCTTGCCTCCACCCTCTGTAGGCTTCCTTTTTGTGTCTGGCTAGGAGCTATTCATCCACACAAGCCTCCCAGCAGTTCTGGAAATCACTGGGATGGACCAGTCATGAGCCTGGAGGAGATAATCCTTGAATATTATTCAGCTGTCTTGGGCCTTCCTTCCCTCTAGAGCCTTATCCTGTGGGACTCTTCTCGGCAGATCTTTGAAGTAGTCTAAGTCTGCTCTCCTGAAGTCCAGTGTTGTGAGCTTGTTTTTCACCCTCTTCCCTGCCCTTAGGATTCTGAACTCCACCATCTCATGGTCTCTTCAGCCAAAGCTGACTTTGATTTGCACATCCCCAGTGAGCCCCTCCTTGTTGGTGAGAATGAGGTCTGGCAGATCATCTCTCCTCATTGGCTTTTCTGTTGCTTGGAAGTTGTCATTCATGCTCTCCAGGAGCCTCCTGGATTGCTTATTGTCCTGCTGTGTTGTCCCTCCAGCAGGTATTAAGGTGATTGACATCCCAGATGAGCACCATGGCCTGCAAATGTGATGATACTGTACAAAGTTGTTTATACTGCTTGGGCAATCTGATGAGGGACAGGAAGAAACTATACTGATGATGGAGAATATTTATGTTAGTCCGCATCTGTGGAAACATGCTCCGTCTTGCATATTACCCTGCCAGCTGAAAATGTTACTACTAATGCCCCTCTCCTACCTGGAGACTTAATTACCCATGCTAAAAATTACAGTACCTTCTGACCTGTGGCTCAGCATCATGGGGACCACTCATAAACCTGCTGAAGTCTCATAACCCTGTTCAAGTCAGGATAAACTGAGTGAACAAAGACTAAATAGTTAAGAATCTTAAGTCAACTTCACTCATTTTGTTTGAACACTCACTCACTAGCAGGTCAGCTTGCTGTAACCTCTGGCAAGAGTGAGAGGCAGATGGAAAGATCATCTTCAACTGGCATAGCTAGAACTGAAAAAGGACTTCTATCTTTGGCTTTTTTCCACCCTAGACATACTCTGCATATGACTAATTTGTTTTTTAAAAGAAACCCACTGAATGCTTACCCAAAGAATTCTGCTGCTGCAGCATTCCTGCTAAGAGGAAGAAAGAGCTACAGTGTTGTCTTGGTTTGGGAGGTGAAAAATGTGATGGTATTTGCAATTATTGGTCTAACCTGGAGAGGAATGGCCAGTCAAGAATTGTATAAAGCATGAGAGAAATGATGCCTACAGATGAGAGCAGTAACATCCACTGGGCATTAACTTGTACCCTTGAACCTACCTAAGTGTTGATCAGTGGAGTCATGAGGAATAGATATAATCTGAGGAAGGCAGAAAATGAAAAGAAAGAAATACTGAATAAATTGGAGTTTGTCAAATGCAAACTTCAGAGGACAGATGCTTTGTGGAAAGGCCTTAAGCTGTTGCTCTTTTCTTTGGCTGACAAGAGATTTTAATAAGGTGCCATCACAACTTTAAAATTTTATTTCTGGACCCACAAAGACTGTAAGTGCTAGTTTTTTCCTCTTTCTTCTTGATGAGCTGCAATTTGCTGTCAGTTGCCTACAGTTCTCGTAAAGTTTATGTAAATTTTAATTCAGGAAAGACTTGGAGTCCTTGATAAGTTTGGTAAAACTAGATTCAGTTGCAAAAAAAGCTCCTCCTCATGTCATAGGCAATACCTCACACTGCTGCATCAGTGGCTGGATGGACAGGGGCTACGTGGGGAGTCTTTGCAAAATCTAGTTTAAAGAGCTGAACTCCTCTGGCAGAAATCCATGACAAGTTGCCAGAGATGAGCAGAAAACCACCCAGGTACACTTAAGCTTTCCATTCGGGGCAGCTAAGCACCGTCACTGTGTTGTGTGAGCCACTCCACTGTTGAAGTGGAAAAAATCCTTCAGCTTCCAGTGTCTGACAAATTGGGCACGTCTGACCTCTCGGTAGCCATACCTGCCCCCTTTGCTCTTCTCCATGTTTTCTGCATCATGAATGCCATGGGTCTCAGAAGTTCACTTGCAGGTTTCCCACTGCAGTCCCACCACTGTCACCCTCACATTTCCTAAGGCTGAGTGTTCCTTCAAGATTTCCTGAAATTCTGTTCTCTAAATCAGATAATGCTGATCAGATATGCTAATCAGATAATGGTTTGTTTCATAATCAAGCAACCAAGTCTTCATTCCACAAAGTCAAACATGCAGAACAGTAACAGCAGATGAAGAGGTGCCTTAACACACCCAATTAGATGCAGAAATTAGGTATTATAAATTAGAAATTAGGAGTCGTAAGTTGCTTCTATAATAGGTTCACATGGTCGTATTAATGACAGATGTTATTGCAGTTACTAAAAACACGCATTCTGTACTAATGGAAAATAAGCATAAAGGAGTCTCGTGAACACAAGAGCCAATGCTTTATATAAAAGTAAGAAATAAAGGGAGAAGCAGTAAGTATTAAGAACTTATAATAACTCAAGAAACTGAGTTGTGCATTTCTGGATGTGTTGGAGATTTTCAAAGATATTTCCTATGGAAAGAATTTATGAATCAAAGCATAAGAGTTGTCCAGGGAAGATTGGTCCCACATGGATACTGTTGCTGTTTTAACTCATCCAAATCTTCCAAACTATTCACTATGAACAGATTGTATTCATAAGTACAGGAAGCGTTTGCATTTAGTATAGCTAAATTAGCTGAAGCAGAGATTAACACACTCCATGTAATGTTTAACCAGAAAATAGAACAGTTGTATGGCCAGAATGAGACATTTAGAGGGAAAAGATACAGTGAGCCAAATTTTGTTCTTGGTTGGGGTTACCATAGATGTGCAGATGCAAAACATCTCTGGATTAATTTGCTTTTTACTTGCATTGGCCTTCTTGTCAGTTATTATTTCCCATTTATGAAGAAGGAAGAGCTGAAACCTACATGTTTTGGCATCGTGGAAAATGGCCAAGGCTACTTACCCTGTAGGGATCTATCTAGTGTACATTTGAGGGAGGAGGTAGATGCCATTTCTCCTATTTTATTTTAAATAATGCTATCTGGATAGTAGTATATTTCCCTTCAAAAGGTTCAAAGTGTTACAATGCTAAGAACAACTTTTGACTTGAGACTGAGATTACTACCAACCTCAACTCTTCAAGGAGTGAATAGGATTAGAAGGGTTTGTGGATAGCTTTGCATTCTCAGACACATTTAGCACTTCACAGCACGGAAACTCAAGATAAATAAATAAATATGACTTGGAGCTCTCTTTTCATTCCCTTCCCTGGCATAAAAATTTTGCAAGCAGCTTACTTGTATTAGAAAGGTTGTACTTGTTTAAATTCATTAGATAACACACATACACTTTGCAAGAAGATTAAGGATAGGCAGAAATGCTACCAAAGTTTCAAAATGCTTATGCAAATACTTTTTGTCCAGAAATATCCAGAGTACTAGCACCTCTGTGTCTTCCCAGCTTCATCCTGGACAGATTCAGTGAAACATGTCATACTTATGACCAAAATGTCATATTTATGAAACATGTCATATTTATGACTAAAACTTTGGAAATAAAGTAAGTATGCCTCGGGTTATAATTTTAAGAGTTAAACTATTTGCTTGTTTCAACTGGTGTTCCCATCATTACAAAGTATACCCTTTGGAGTTGTCAAGTGATGCAGAGAATCATGCTGAAGGGTTCAAGACATGGGTTGAAATTGACCTGCTCTTGCTCAAAGTAGGGAAATTCAACCCTGCTACAAAGATGCAGAACTTTGGTTCTTCATACACCATGGAGCTGATCCCAAATGGCCTTTTTTTGCTGATCTTCTCAGTGAAGCATCTTTTTACCTGTTCCCTAAAGTGAACAGGTATAAACCCCTTCATTATTTACATTGAAGGGGTTTATATCCTTTTATATCAATGGGTTATCAAAGAACTTCTCTGGGGGCAGGAATGCTTAGCAAAGCCTGAAGAAATTTTCCACTGAGTTCAGTGGCAATACTCCAGAGAGGCTGGGCATGATGTCTCTAGTTTGAAGCTTTCCTGGGGTAGAAGAAAATTCATTTCTCTGATACTGCTTAGCTCTCGTGAGTGTGTCAGTCAAATTTTTAATACAGTGTTTGTCTGACACTGGGCATTTTCACGCAGGATGTAATATGCCACAGACTTTTACTTTAGATCAAAATTGGGATAGCTAGAATATCTTGCTTCTTAACAGGTTCATGTGGTCCCTCCCCTAGTTCCTCCCTTCCTGTGTCCCCTATTGTGCCTTGATTTTCACATCCACCACATGAGAATGTCCAGTTTTCCCTGATCTAGAAAACACGGTGACTGGTTCTGGAAGGACCACTGCAGTGAGTGCGCCCACTGTCCACCATCTCATGTCCAGTATGTCTTTTCAAAACAAGGTTCTCGTGTGCTAGCACAGCATTATGAAGTGTTTATTCTTGATGCAGTATGTGCTCTGAGACCTACGATATCCTTTAATTCCTTGAGTTTTTCACTCCAGCATCTCTTCAAGAGGAAAAAGTGAAAGCCTGATATGGCAGTATTTAATTATTCTTATTGTACAAGTTACAAGCAAAACATCTCCTGTTAATCATGGGTGTTTTAAAACCATAAACTCGTTGTTCATATTCGTTAACAGTTGGGGAAGAAAGTTGATCTTTCCTGAAAATACTGAAGCAGATGGGAGCAGTGTGAATGCCAGAATATCCCTGCAAATTCTCCTAACATGAAACAGCTTTGGACAGTTCAGGACATCTGGAGTGAATATGAGAGAGGGAAATGAAAAATTTCTTGAATGTACTTAAAGGCTGAAATAGAATCACAGTGGCATAGACATGCAGAAACCCTGAATGAAATACATGGATATGGCAGAATGCTTAAGAGGAAGTCAGCCTGCTAGAAGCAGAACTATTTTTAGTCTTCTAATGAAGAAAGCAGCTGTATTTGAGAAAACCAGTCACTCACTGCTTGGAAAAATCATCTGGAACTCTTTCTGGGTCCTGGTGTTCTTGGTTGCTAGAGGAAAATCTTATGTGTAAGCTCTTTTAGCCCTGGAGAACCTTAAATGGCAGGCATCTTGGGTTTTGAAGCACAGTTGGGAGCTTCTTGGGAACAGATTCACAGATTTCTGTTGGAGCCCATGGTCACTTTGCGGTATTCAACCACTCTTGGAATTAGTGCTTCTTTAGGAGACAGTGAGGATCTGGCAAAGTCCTCCAAGATGTACATTAAACATAACATTCTGCCGCCTTTTGTTCTGTGCCGTGCTGCTTGTTATCCAGTGTTTGTTTCCGTTCTGAGTTTCCCCAGAGCTTTACTGGGGTGCAGCAGCCTCTCCACTTCATCACAAAACCTCTGTTTTCTTATTTGTATAGCGCTTGTGTTAGGTGTGGGAATGGAAGAGAGCCACTTCATTTTGCTGTTGTAGTGAAATTTGAATTGTGAAAACTCACTGCTCTTAAAGTACCATCTTTGTACAGAAAAAGCCCATTTATAAGGTGCAGTTGTGGTGGTGTAAAAGAATATTTTCTGTCTTTTTCTGTCATGTTGCTGAGTTAAACAGATGATCAAAGTGAATTATGTGTATCCTGGCTGTGACATGAATGGACAATAGTTATCACAAGGTCAAAGCCATCGAATGTGCTTGCTGGAAGTGAAGGAGACAGCTTGATTTTTCTGCTGGCTTGAGAAACCATTTCTGAACTAGTGAAAGTAGATGCATTGTAGAAAGCTGAATGGAGAGAAAAGGGATTTCAGCTTAAAGCCAATGTTGGGGAAGCCTGACCACAGCCACCTGCCTATGATGGCCTGGCATTTTTAAATGAGAGAATGAGATTAGGGGGGAGGGTGGCTTGGTTTTGAAAACCTACTTCTGCAGGTGATCTGTGAATTTTCTTCAGTGGCCACCTGCCCAAACCATCAGGAACTGGACAAGATTTTAAAGGTGAGAGAATGGCAGGGTGTTCAAAAAGAAATGTCATGGAGAGTGAGCTGCTACCTGGGCTCTGTGGGTATACGTGCTTTGGGCAGCTTTGTCAGGCTTCTTCAGTCACTTCCAGCTCCCAGCCTTACATTTACATTCTTTTCTTGCCTGTATAGTACCTAAAGTGTCTTATACAGTGGGAAAACTTCTTGTATGTAGGTACTTATATGCTCAAAAATTGGAAGGGTAGAGGAAAGGGTTTGTGAGCTCCAAGAGGAATATCCTGACTTCTCCTTTTTCAGTAGGACCATGGCCCAGGGAAGAAGCTGATGCTCTCAGCCTCTTCCCATTTGCTTGGCACCTGCCATGTGCCTCCAACAGGTTATCCCTCTTCAGATCTTCTGGCACAGTTTGTTCTATAATCGGTCCCTAAATCTGTTTCTGCTTGAGCAATATGGTTTTAAAACTAACCCCTATTACAAGTATTGAAAAGAGGGAAGATCGTTAACTGTATTGCATAAGGGATAATTATGTGAGTATTTACTCTGGCATAAGTTAGGCAGCTTGGGGGCAGTGACCAGCAGCTACAGGGGGCTTGGGGAGCTGGAGCCTCTTTGCCTGAGGTGGGGGCAGCTGGAGCAGCAGGTCTGACCACAGCCTGTGCTTTTCACCACAAATATCTGAAGTTTTTAGCTGGTTTCAGTAGAGCCTGTTTTGCACAAACCACTTCTGTTTTCCCATTACTCATATGTCCCTTTGTTAATAACATAATGTAAATAATTCTGTGCTGGATTTGGCATTCATCTAAACAGGTGTAACACTAAAGCAGTCGTAATTGGTTTCAGTGTTTGCAGCCTTCTCTCTGGCTGCACTTTCCAAAGGGGTTTACTTGTTTCGCTTTTGAAGGCTCACTATTACCATAATTCACCCATCAGTCTGCTGTTTCTAATGTTAATTCAGTTTTATAACTTGGTAGGAGGCAAGATGAAATGCTTCAAGCTGCATCCTAGGGTTATTCTTTGAGTGGCCGGTGTTTTAAATCGATATGATGGGCATTGGCAAGGAGAGGTTTGTGATATTTATAGTCTTCAGGAATCTGTGTAAAAGTGAAAAAATGCTTATCCTGGTTCTGTATAAATACCACATCCAAAGCACACCTGTCTTCTGCCATGTGGGCCAGCTAATTGGTTTTTGATCTATTTTTACTGTTCTTAGCTGAAAGGCAATTTTTTGTTAAGTTTCACAGAAAGCTCTAGAGCTGTTTTAGGGGTTTGTAGCTGTGAAAAATAGCCGTGGTTCTGTTTTTTAAAAAGCATTCTCAAGGAATAATTACAATGATTGAGAATGCTTCTTAAAAAAACAGAAGCATGTACATTTTTCATAGCTACACGTCTCTAAAATGGCTTTGTGGGTTTCTTCACGTATTCAGGAAACTTTTAAAAATAAAAAGGAGCAAATCTATCTCTGAGCTTGGCAACAGATGAAGTTTATATTTCACAAGTATCTGAAAATGGGTTCCTCCCCATTTGCAGACACAGATGCCAAAGTTTTAAACTGACAGTGCAAAGTTTATATTGCAAGCTTTGTAGAGGAGCAAAGCAGCATTTTTCTGCTCCATGTCAGTCCTGCTCTTATGCCTGGCTGGGATGAAGCCTTGTTGGACAGTTGTTAGTATTGTTATTGTTTATGAATTCCTGGCCTTGTGGTTGTGCAGAACAGCGAATCGTCATTGTTGAATCGGGAACCGTGGACATGAAAATAGCAAAAAGGTTGCCCCTGCTGCTAAACTTTTGGCAGTGTTTTGTATTCCATTCTTGTCTGTATTAAAACACAGAATGTAGTGAATGGGCCAATCCCTGAAACCCTTATTTGGTTATTATGAAAAGAGAGAGAAAAGGCTGTGATTCATTAGGAGGGGATGAATAAGAGGCTGCAGAGAAAGTCTGCAAGGTAGCTCGGGAGGTTCTGTTCTCTTGTCTCATAACAACCTAGCAACGCAAGGATTGTCTCAGCACAGCAAATGGTGGCTCTATCAAAAGCGATGCATTAAATAGTCCTCATGCTGGGGCAAACAAAGGAGCGATGCAAAGAGGTGTCTGCTGCTTATGTGATACATCTAAGCATGTATATGCAGAGTTAGTGGGAAAGGGAAGTTATTGAGATCTGTGGGTAAATGCATGCCTCTGCAAAGGTGACTTGGGTGGAAATCGTGGGATGCTCCTGAAACCAGCTACTTCAGAAGTTTAATTGGGAATTTTATGGGTTTTTTAGTGGCAGCACAAAATACCTGGGGTTACCTATTACCTCAAACAAAAGGGGTACAGAAAAGGTAACAAAACCTGTTGTTTCAGCATCTGAGCAGTCTCTTAAGTGGCAGGTTGCTAATCCCATTTCAGTATTTCGCCTGGAGCAGCAGGAGTTACAGATGTTTGCTTGCATCACCACAGTATAGTCTCTGGTGATGGTGGTTTGTGGTGTTGTAATCCCACAGAAATTATACTTTGGCTTCATTTCTTTGGCCTGCCTGGGCATGACTGATCATTATCTGCTCTTCAAGATTAGCTGAAAGTGCCTAGCTATATGCTCTGGACTTTGTAGTAGAAGAGGATGAATTTGGAGGCTGGGTCTCTGAAATTGTCACATAAAACAAGACAGTTTTGTTTTATTCCATGTTCTCCCTGGTTTAAATGAAAGAAGAGAGCAGTGCAGAGCTGGGCTTGTCTGCTTGGAATATATTCAGTTACTTAACTCATGGCACAGGCCATTGCAACCCTAGTAGGCAGCATTGCAGTAAAGGCCAACAAGTGGTGTAAATAACATCGGGAAGAGAGTTTTTGTTTCCTTCTCCCCACTTTTTGCATTAGATGCTGAATGAGCTGCACAAGTGTGTTTGTGAGGGGGATTGTTCAGCTGATCTGCCTCACGCTCCCCAGACCTTCCTGATCTCCCGTCCCAGAGAAACTTGATGATAATTTTAGTAAAAGGCTGTTCTGAGTGCCATTTGGCTCATCTGGTTACAGTCAGGAAGCCTCTTCTCATTATTTTTCTGGGATCAGATAGGACAAAAGTTTAAATATTAGCTCCTCAGCTATTTAAACCCTGTGGCAATGCCAGTCTGCTTGGCACATAGTGTTGAATCTAGTGATAAGATATTCAGTCGACTGTTGACCCTCACAGCATTGTAAGAAATATGCTGATAAATTCTCTGTTAGGGATAGGAGGGATGAACTGGCCCCTACGTTTTATGACAATTGTTAATCAAAAGATCTGTCAAAAAGCTGGGCTTAGAGGTCTGTCCTATCTATGCTGTTGCCCTCCAGTAAACCCTGGTTTCCTGCAGACTTCCAGAGTATCCCTAGATAAGCAGTACTGCAAATAACGAAATAAATCTAAAAAAAAAGAGGTCTCCAGCACAGGCTTCATGCCCAAAGTATTTCCTGGTATCGAATTACATTTTTGTCCACTAGATGGCTTTTCTCCGCCCTGTCTGAGATTTGACAGCAATCTGAATCAACCAAATGTAAGCTGCCTAAATGATATTACCTAACGGTAACGGTTTAGTGAGAAAGTTCTAATTGCACACATCATACAGGGTTTATCTATCCTGTGATGTAAATTTTCCTACATGGAGCAAATCCTACTTATGTTGGCACAGAGAAAAATCCAAGTTAAGATTTTTAGCAAATTGTTTGCCAGCAAACAATGTTTGCTTATGATACAAATTTATTAAAGATCACAGAGCACGTTCTGTGGTTATCAAGTCTTCAGCACTGACACTGCAAAATAATGTAAAATCTTCCAGACCTTGTTTTGGTTTGATGGGGGTTTTTAGGAATCAGAAACAGAGGAGTTCCTCCCCTTACCCACCCAGCCTGTAGTATAATATTAATTAATGATATTTGGAAGCAAATGTAGTTCTGCAATTATTATAATTAAGTGGGACAGATGGGCAGGACTCTGCATTATGTGGCTTAAGCCAAATCAAATGGAGTGCCAAAATAAAACCCAACAACAAATAAACCCAACATTATTTACATTGAGGAAAGTCTCAGTTTTAGTGACTGTGTGAGTCCCACTGACCAGTGACATACTGGCAAGGCTGTGCTTTTCCTATTGACTTCACCAGGTGAATAAGATAGTGGCCAAGAGAAGAGTACCTGAATTAGTGAAATGTGTGGTATTCAGGTTATGACCAAAAAAAAAACCAACCCCAAACCAACAAACCCAAACCAAAACCATCACCACAAACATTTTGTTATTATTTTATAATACTTACCCTTCTCAAAAATACATAACATGGTAAAATTAAAAATAATCTTCAGACTGGTGTTCACCATTTCATTAGAGAAAATATAAGGGAATTTGAACAATTTTAGATCAGTAACATGTTTTTAAGAAATGCACTTATACCAACAAGGCTGATGCGGGTATACGCACTAGAGGAAGATGAGAGAATTTCTATCACAAGCTGCTATTGGTGTCTTCCTGAGAAGCTCAGCAGCACTTGCAATTTGCTTTATTTCTGCAAGGAAGTTACTGCAGGAGGCTGCCTGGAGATGCAGTTCCTCAGTTCATTTTATAGCTAGTAAGTATTTGTTCAGTGTGAAACTCCCATTTCTAGCTGTTGAACCAGAGCGGGTCTTTCTTTTCCTGT